ATTAAAAAAATATTTGTTTATTCCTCGCTTGTCGAGGGTTTTAGACTCTTAGTGAACATTCTGTTTATTTCCTTTTCTATTTAGCACTGTAGGACTGTCCTCCCGTTGTTCATCGATTTGCTCGAGTGGGCCCAGTAACGTCTCCTTTGTGAAACTTGTTGGTATTGTGTTTGGCATATCGAATACGTCACGGGGAGCTTGCCAGGCTTTGCCGGTGCGGGCGAGATACTCTCGGTAGCTTGCCGGGCTCTCCGAGGTGATTCTTATTTTTATCTATGGATTTTTTTTTCTTTTTTTTATAAGCATTGTCTATAATATGGCATTTTCTGTCATAAAACCAACATTACCTCTTTTTTGGGGGGAACACAGCTAGTAATGTTTAGGGGTACTCCTGGCTCTGCACTTAGGAGCACTTCTGGTGGTGTTTCATGGTCCATATGGGGTTCCAGAGATAGAACCCAGTTTGCCACATGCAAGGCAAGCATCCTACCTTCTGTACTATCATCCTGGCCCCCCAAACAATACTACCTTTTTAGGATAAAACACACTTTCAAATTTTTATAGGCCTCTTCAGATTTTCCTTTAAATTTTAATTCCCTCCTCTTGCCAATTTTATAGATTTATCTATTTCCTGTCAATTATAACATGTGCTAGGATATAATTATTCCATATTATTAAATATTTAATATATATAGAAATGTAGCTTTGGAAACATTTTTAAAATCAACTTACAATCTATTTACAAGTTTGGATCATTTCAGGAGCATTATTTATCTTTTTGTGCAAAATTGTTGCCACCTCCACAATAAAAAAAAAATCTTTCTGGTACGGTATATAAAGGGCAATAGTAAAGGCACAGCCATCAGCCCCAGACATCATCAGAACTGGAGACTCTGCCTATAGACTGAGCTTGTGGATGGGAGGGGTCTTGGGACATTGGGAAGGAAGCAGGCACCGGGTAATAGGTGTGGTGTTGGAACAAGGTATGCCTGAAATTATCAATACTGACAGTATTGTAAATCATGGCACCACAATGAAAATTGAGGGAAGAAAGTCTGGATCATGGAAAAAATAGAACCTGAAACGAAGAGGTCATTTTTCAGCAAGGGTTGAGAAGTCCCACAGTGCCCCATGTAGGTCACAAACATCCCTCTAATAAGTAATTACATTTCTAGGGCCCGATTTTATTTTCAATTTCCATTTGTATTCTTTATTCAAAGTATTTTCAAATCATCAGGAAGCAAATGCTTCAGTTTCGACCTAGTTTCATGAGACAGAGGGCCGTTAATGTTGCTCTTTTGGTCAGGAGTGCTGTGAAAGCTGTTTCAGATACTGGAGGGTACTGTGAACTAGGAATGCCTGGGAACCTCTAGAAGCACACCTCTGTGGACAGGGAGAGACAGAGGAAGAATTTGTTTAGTGTGAGTTAGGAAACTCATAATTAAATAGCTCATGTTGTTACAGCAATGCTCAAGGGTTAGTGATTCCCACAGGAATATCTGATCTGAATTGAATACAGAAAGGGCGGTAAAGTGATCCAAAGGAGTACATCCCAGTAGATCCGAGGTATGATTACATTGGGTGTTAATCTGGTGGGTTTTACTTTTGTGGGGGTTGGATGGCACCCGAAGCTGCTGGGGTTACTCCCAGCTCAGTGCTCAGAGTATTGCTTGAGGGACCGTGCAGTGCTGCAGAGCGAATCTGGGCCTCCCACGTGCAGTCCAGTCCTTTGAGGTCTCTCTCTGGCCCTGGTGTGCCTAAAATGAAAATTAGGGAGGCAAGTGTTCTGATTGGCAAGAGAGCTCAATAGGCTAGAGCTTATGCTTTGCATATTAGACACCCAGATTTTATCCCCAGCACGCCATGGTTCCTAGAGCACTTCTGGGAGGGATTCCTCCCAAGGCAAGCACTCAGAAGGAGCCCTCAAGTCAGCTGTAGCAACCAAAGTAAAACAAAACAAATTACGACATTGGTATCCTGAATTATGTCTCTTCTGATAAGAGTGGTATCTTTGAGGTTTGTTGTAAGGATTAAATGAGCATATTTAAAGAACATTGGTATGACAAACCAATATAACAAGCAATCATTGAACATTAGATAGTATTTATGTTTTATTATTATTATCTATTATTATTCATCATCTTCACCGTTGCCGATACCACTACCATCTCTGAGAGACACATTTCCATCATACCAGAATCTTTGGTCGGGGGGCAGGGTTGGTTTTTGTACCACACCTGGCAGTGCGCAGGTTTTCCTCCTGGCTCTGCGCTCAGCGATTAGTCTTGGTGAAACTTGCGAGACCCTCTGAGATGCAGGTGAGATGCATTTGAAGAAGTGTCTGGGGAAACATGGACATGTATTCAATTCAGATCAGATATTCCTATTTATTTTTTATTTATCTGATTTGGCTTCCTTTTTCTCAACTGGCTTGATCAGCTGCGTGCAAGGCAAGCACGCTACCCACTCTACTATCATTCTTGCCCCACTTACCATACTTCCTGACCCACACACAAATGTGGGCAAAATTGTTAGGTGGGTTTTTTTATATATATATATATGTATTATGGAATGTGGGATGCTGTGGGACCCTACTGCTTTTGTGTGTGTTTCATTTTTTATTTTTTAGACTTTTACTGATTAACGTTCTCTGACTTAACAATACTGATGGTATCCCATGTGGGTAGTTCCAACACCACACCCATCACCAGTGCGCTCACTTCTTTCTGACATGGACCCCATTACCCCAATGTCTCTCCTTGTCAAACCCCACCCCCAGTTGTGTTGCCTTTGGCCCCTTGTTACTACCTGGCAGTGTATCTGTTTTGGGGGGGTCACACCTGGTGGTGTGTGGGAAGCTGGCCCTTTAACTGACCAAGGCCTAAGTGCCTGTATGGTCATCCTGACCTACGACCCCACGGCAGGTACAGCCTGTGCTATGTATGGTCATCTTGACCTACGTGACCCCGCAACAGGCAAAACCAGTGCTATGTATGGTTATCTTGATGTATGGTTATCCTGAGAGAACATCTGTCATGGCTGTCAGTAATAACAAGAAGTAACTATCTTGTGTCTGGTACGTGATGCATGTAAATTTTATAAATCATATGGACATGGCTCTTTGTGTATCTACCTCATGTCTGGTAAATCATATGGACATGGCCCTTTGTGTAATCACCTCGTGTCTGGTACCAGATACACATAAACCTTGTAATGCATGATAGGTGAAAACAAACCTTCCTAACCATATATGGGCACGACCTTTTGTGTAGCTGCCTCACTAATGGATATATACCCTGATTGCCCCCAATAAAGTCCTGTCCCTTTTTCTCTCTGTTTCTGAGCTGCATTCTGTCTCCTGTGTCTCGTGTTCATTCGGTCGGTCCTTCCCAGTACCTACGGATCCTAGGGCCACCTCCGCAGGCCGGAGAGTGGTCTGGCGGGGCCCCCCGCAGCGGTGCACAGGAGTTACTCCTGGTTCATGCACTCAGGAATCACTCCTGGAGGTGCTCGGGGACCGTATGGGATGCTGGGAATCGAACTTGGGTCGGCCGCGTGCCCTACCTGCTGTGCTATTGCTCCAGCCCCAGGCTGTGTATCTTTCAGTCCCACATGTGAGCGAGATCCTTCTGTATAGCTCCCTTTTTCCTGACTCACTTCTCTCAGCATGATATCCTCTAGTTCCATCCATATTTCTACAAGCTGCCTTATTTTATTTTTCTGGTCCATCCTTAATTGACGAACCCTGAACCCTGGACAAGGATTTTTTTCTGGTAAATCCTTTGAACCTGAACTTCTGTGATAACTGATTCGATAAGCATATTCTAAACTCTCTCTCTTGGTTTGACTCCTAGGCGCATTTGAAGAAGTGTCTGGGGAAACATGGACAGATTTTGTTTTTCATGTATCTTATGGATTTGGCTTCCTTTTTTCTCAACTGACTTGATCTTAGTGATGAAGCTCTGAGACTTGGTTATTTTGGGGCATAAATGAATATGCTTAGTCCAGAAGGTCTCTTACTAGAACAGTTAGCTCATAGGTATATTTACAGAATATGACTTTGTGTTATTAAGTCATTGTAAGTTCTTTTCAATTTATAAAGCATTTCAGTGCCCATTACTTTCATCATTGTGGTATTTCCAAAGGGCTAGACAGGGAAGATTGTATCTTTATTTTATGGGTGAAGAGCTTGAGATGAGAAAGATCTATGACTCATCAAGGCTCATGCTGTTAGGTGATGATGGATCCATGCCTGGAATAATAACTATTCTTATTTCCAATTGGGCCTTTTTGTATGAGCTCTTTTTGTGAGTTTGGCGAGCGCTTGTCTAAAATGGGGGGGTGGGGGGATGGAAATGGGATGGCTCAAGACCTCTACAATCAAACCTATATCCTGTCTTTTTGAATTTTTCTTGGGAAAATCATTAAACTTCTTTATTTGTGGGCTTTTACGTTATTCCTACTGTATTTTCCCTGTGGGATTTTAATTAGTGTTGAAACAAAGGTTTAAATCTGGGTGGTGGGATGGAGAGTTGAAAAAACCTTGGTGCTGGTGGTTTGCCTAACTGTGTACATCAATGCTATAAGCACAAACGCTTGTAACCCTATCTCCTAAACTCTTATTTCAGATTTTGAAATAAATGATTTAATTTTTAAAAATCCAGGTTATCTGGCCCTTGAGTCTGTCCCTAAGAACTATATTGACTGTTACCTTTATTATAGTGCAAAGTGCAACTCAAGAGTGTTAGAGCCAGCTATGTCGTGATTTAAGGGATATAGTGATGCTCAGCCATCACTCTCCTAACGTGGCTTATGGTTTCAAAGCACTGAATGTCACTGAGAGTAAACTAAATAATCACTGATAGCATCACCAGTGCCATTCAGAATGAAGGCATGCTATTGGGAAAAAAAAAAAGTCTTAAAAATGTCTTTGATATTAATGTGTGTGGTTTTTTTGTTGTTGTTGTTAGGATATAAACAATTTTTTTTTTCCTTTACAGCATTGGGAGGTGTTCAAAAAAGTTACTGAAGTTTTCATTTTAGTTCCTGCTCTTCTTGGTCTCAAAGGAAACTTGGAAATGACGTTGGCGTCCAGATTGTCCACTGCAGTAAGTTTTAATAATATACATATTCCCTGTGGTGGTTCTCTACTTAGGAAAAACTTGTATTGGGAAATTTGGGGGGCAGGGCCGGGGAGATTGGGCTACCTTCAGTTTGCAAGACCGTGCCTGGATCTTGCTAGGGATTCTTTTTTTTTTTCTTCCCCTGATAAATTTCTGAACCTCAGCTTGATACTATATCCTGAACTTTTATTTATTTCGGTACTTGGGCCTCACTGGTTGATGCTCAGGGGCAACTCCTGGCTCTGCACTCAGAAATCCTTCCTGGCCGTGCTTGGGGGACCTTATGGGATGCCAGGGATCAAGCTGGGGTCAGCCGTGTACAAGGCAAGCACCCTACTCGCTGTACCACTTCTCCAGCACCTTGCACATTTTTTTCTTTTTCTTTTGTCTCTTTTTTTTTTATTAGTGAATCACCGTGAGGTACTGTTACATACTTACAAACTTCTGTGTTTGCATTTCAATTATACAATGATCCAGTATCCATCCTTCCACCAGTGCCCATTCTCCAACACCAATGATCCCAGTATCCCTCCCACACCCTCATCCCCTCATCCCCTCCCCACCCCACCTCTGTGGGTGAACCTTTTGTTTTCTCTCTCCTTTTGGGTGTTGTGGTTTGCAATAGAGGTATTTAGTGGCCATCGTGTTTGGTCTACAGTCTGTTTGGCAGCTCCTAACCCGAGTGGGTACTCTCAGCACCCTTAACTTGGTGGTCCCTTCTCTGTCTGAGCTGCCTTTTTCCCCAGCACGTGAGCCGGCTTCCAAGCCATAGGGCAAACCTCCTGGTCCTTATCTCTACTACTCTTGGGTGTTTTTCTCCTATTCTGTTACTTTGTATTCCACATATAAGTGCAATCTTTCTGTGTCTGTCCCTCTCTTTCTTACTTATTTCACTTGATACTCACCATGTTGATCCACTTATATGCAAATTTCATGATTTCATCTTTTCTAACAGCTACATAGTATTTCATTGTGTAGATGTACCAAAGTTTCTGACCCACATCTGAAAAAAACAAAAGCAACTGGTGTTGGTGCGGACGTGGGGAGAAAGGGACTCCCCTTCACTGCTGGTGGGAATGCCGACTGGTTCAGCCCCTATGGAAAATAGTATGGACGCTTCTCAAAAAATTAGAAATTGAGCTCCCATTTGACCTTGCAATACCACTTCTGGGAATATATCCCAGAGAGGCAAAAAAGTATAGTAGAAATGACAACTTGTATGTTCATTGTTGCACTCTTTACAGTAGCCAAAATCTGGAAAAAATCAGAGTGCCCAAGAACAGATGACTGCTTAAAGAAACTTTGGTACATCTGCACTTTTTTTCTGAGGGTTATCTAATCTGAGAATGACAGACCCTCTTCTGCCTGAGAAGAGGTGCTGCACTCAACCTCCTCTCACCCTTTGACATTCTTCTCAGCACTTAAAACAAGGCCAAGGCACATAGTGAGGTTCTTTTGTGTTCCAAAGTGAGTTGATTGGTATTTAAACCTTTTGTGATTGTCAGAGTAGTATGCATACAATAGACACTGAAGAAATGGGGTATGAATAAGAGGATTTAAAACTTTACTCTTTTCGGGTCTGGAGCAGTAGCACAGCGGGTAGAGCGTTTGCCTTGCACGCAGCCAACCCAGGTTCGATTCCCAGCATCACATATGGTCCCCCTAGCACTGTCAGGAGTGATTCCTGAGTGCAAAGCAAGGAGTAACCCCTGAGCATCGCCAGGTGTGACCCAAAAAGAAAAAAAAAACCCAAAACTTTACCCTTGAACCGTATGCACATTGAATGTAAGCTCGAAGTCCTGGTGAGCTGGAGGGAGAGTACAGTGGGCGGGGTGTTTGCCTTGCACGTGGCCAACCTGGGTTCGGTCCCCGGCATCCCATATGGTCCCCCAAGCACTGCTAGGAGTGATTCCTGAGTGCAGAGCCAGGTATAAATCCTGAGCATTACCAGATGTGACCCCCAAAAAGCCCCCCAAAAAATTAAATAAATAAATAAGAGAGAAGTTCTGGGAGAGTAATTACGAGTTTTAATGACCTTAGTATAAGTAAAGTAAAGTAAAGGCCCTCCCGTTGATCATCGATTTGCTCGAGCAGGCCCAGTAACGTCTCTATTGGAGACTTTGTTGTTACTGTGTCTGGCATATCGAATACTCTCGGTAGCTTGCCGGGCTCTCCGAGAGGGGCGGAGGAATCGAACTCGGGTTGGCCATGTTGGCTGCGTGCAAGGCAGACGCCCTACCCGCTGTGCTATTATGAAACTTTATTATTTTCTTTAAAGAGGCTACAGCAAAATGAATCCATCAATGAATAGGAAAAATGTGTGTGTGTGTGTGTGTGTGTGTGTGTGTGTGTTCGCGCGTGCGCACGCGCAATATCTTTGAGGCAGGAGCTGAACAACTGTTGTTGAGAGATCTCTCTCCCACTCCTTCCCTTTCCCAGTCCTCAGGTTTCCCCCCTGCAAATTTCCCTGAGGTTTCTTGGAGAGCAAGGGCATTAAGCAATGTTTGCTCAGCATTTTGTTTTCTTAATTAAGTGGGAATGCTACACATACCCAGTGGAACTTCCTCAGTCCCTTCCTTATAAATAAAAGGTCAGAGTCTGCCCAGGACAATAAGATGATATTGGGTATTAATGAGCTTTCAGAATGTTCTAGGCACCATGCCAACTGCTTTTCAAGGATATATCTCATGATAATCCTATGAGACAAGCACTGTTATTCTCTTTTATGGAGGGAAAGAGGATTAGAGCAGTTGAATAACTTACCTAAGACCACGGAACTACTGTATTCCTGGACGAAGTCAAACTCAGAACATTCCCTTTTATCTGCTCAGAATGACTTTGTCAAAGTCTTTAAAATAATAAACAATATCAGTAATGAAACACCCAACAATATCCATCTCCACAGTGTAAGGATGCATTGTACTGGTCTCAGCATCAGTATGCAGTATGCTCGGTACTTAATATTTAAAATCATTTAAATATTCATTCATTATTTTAAAACATTATTTATGGATCCCAATCCTGTTACTGATTTTTGTAGTTAGTTGGTGAGCTAGAGGTAGTGTTTGGGAGAATTAATGAGTGATTTAGTTGGTGAAGCCTCACGAAATAGAATTACCTAGGTAAATTTACTTTAGAATAAAGTCTGTAATTTTTAAAGTATGCACTATAATTACTGAATATCGAAAGGACTTGAGAATACTAGAAACTGAGACACAAGAAGCTAGAGCGTAAGAGTGCAAGATGAACCTGGAACGTCATATGTCAAAAAAGAAAGAAATATAAAAATGAATGCATGCATGAGTGGAACTTGATAAGAGGATACTTGATAAAGAAGTACACTTACCTATCAGATCTGAAGTTACTTGAATCAACAAAGTCACTTGTGGATTATGACCATGGAATACAATAAGAATTCATTAGTCTATAAGTGAATAACTTGGAAGGTATGTAAGGCCTATGCTGTGATGGAACTTACATAAATAATTATATTTGATAAGGACAATGCAAAAAATACAATTTGTGATGAAGTCTGATTCATGAGAACTACTTTGTAATAGATGGTTATGCAAATAAAAACAAAATAGGAAAAAAAGTTTATGCAAGACTTCTGAAAGGTGATGTGTAAGCTGGTGACTGGAGACCTTTCTCGGTTCCTATTTATTTACTTATTTCCTTTTTGGGTCACACCTGGTGATGCACAGGTGTTATTCCTGGCTCTGCACTCAGGAATTACTCCTGGTGGTGCTTAGGGGACCATATGGGATGCTGGGAATTGAACGCCAGTCGTCTGCTTGCAAGGCAAATGCCCTGCCCACTGTACTATCGCTCCAGCCCCTCTCAGTTCCTATTTAATCAGCATAATGATGTCTGTGTAATGTCTAATTTTTATATATAAGTGTTCTCGAAGGTTGAGTTGAACAGATGGGCCTGGGGCAAGATGACAAATGATTGCCTGTATAGTATTAACCTACATAATTTAAAATTGGACCACACACTTACAAAAGAAAGCCCTCTCTCTATCTTTCTATTTGGGCAAACGTATTCTTTTGACTGTCTGAACTCTTAAGACCAAATTTAGCATGTGTGGGCTTTTGTTTATTTTGGTCCACGGAGTTGTGGAAAGTCCCTGCTCTGAGATCTGCCTGTCAGTCCCTGCACCATCAGCCATATGGTGTCCTGCACTTTAAAAGACCACACACTTGCTTAAGGGCCTGTATCACGCTCTCCTCATACCCCAACAAATGCTCAACTTGGATTGGGTGTGTACATTTCTGTTTTGGGGGGGAATGCTTTGAGCCACATCTCACAGTGCTCAGGGCTTATGCATGTTTCTGTGCTCAGAGATCACCCCTGGCAGTGCTCAAGAAACCATATATGGTCTCAGGCAAGGCATGCACTTCTTGTGCTATCTCTCTGGCCCTGGGTATGGACATAATAGTGGATTGACTTGTTGAGGAGACTTCGGTTGTAGGCTCGAGGAATTTTATTAGGAGACATTTGGTCCCGTCTATCTGGAGCATGACTTTGGACTTTGGTTGGCTTCTGGTGGCAAACCCTTGTGCCCCATAACCCCTCACATGGTAGGGGTGGGGCATTGCTACAGGAAGCCAAGGTGGGACACCCTTACCCAGATTTAGAGTAATGCTGATTCTAGATTTTAGTAGTGAAAACTTTTGGCCTAATGAAAATTATATGACAGAGGAGATTTGATAATGGATTATATCATTTATAATAGGTATTAAAACAAGATAGAAGATAGATTATATATTAAAAGTTGCTTGAATAAAAGAGTCTCAGTTTTATACTCTGAAGGTAGTAATAACTGGATTCAATAATAACCAGTGAATGCATACAGAGAAAAATTCTCTCTCACTGTAACTGTCATAAGTAACCAAACATATATTTTGAAATGTACAAGTATTTCTTTGATGTTATCCGATATCTATTATAAATGTTGTATCATTTGTGAAGATGCTGAAATTGACATGGGTGCAATAAAAGCTAAGATATAGATGGAAATTCATAACTGCTTAAAAAAATGGTTTCATGGAAGTCAGTTATATCTTTCCATTGTTAGACTTTCAGATCCAAAGTTCAAAGATCAAGTTTTCTCAGGGGATTGTGTGAGACAGTATTATGTTGAATCATAAATTAAAAATTATGAGAACTGTAGAGCTAGTGCAGGAATTCAAGTGCTTGCCTTGCACATCTTCACCCCTGGTTCCAACCTTGGCATTGCATATGGGCACTGCCAGGAGTGATCCCCAAGTATAGAGCATGGGTTAATCATTGAGAACTGTCAGGAGTGCCCCAATTCTACCACCTCTGGTCAGATTTTAAATTATGTAAGTTAGAGTTGCAGGTTCATCAAAAAATATTTAGACAGCATTATCATCAAGCAGTGTAGAAAGCCTCATTTTATGAAATTATTTCAATGATGCTACATCGTTGCTATCAACCAAATCTTCAAACCTAATAGCAAAAAGATTTCTCAGTTATAAGATGAGAGGAAAGAAAACCAAATAGTTCGGTCACACCATCATTTTTAGCAGTATCAAGACAAATCCGGTCATAAATCTCTTCATTTGAAAGTGAACATCTATATTGTATTATATAGTGACCACAGGGTCGGTCTAGCAGCTCTCAGTGCTAAGAAATTATTTCTTAAGACTTAGAAATAAAATAGTAACATAACTGATCAAATTAGAAAAAATTGTATATTTTTCTAATCTCAGTACTTTTTGTATAATGGTGACATTGGTGCCAACTTAATATTAATGTTGAAACTTGCAACTTTATATTAATGTTGAAACTTGATCATTGAGTATCCATCTATATTATGTGCCCAGTATACCTCTAGGTTTTATCTTAGAAAATTAACCTAAGAGTAACTTGAAGTTACATGAAGGCTCTTAGTGGAATTATGTACCTTTGGTTCCATCCACTAACTTTTCCCAGTGATTCTCCCTTGCATTTTAAGACCCAGTGAATAGCTCAGTACAGTTCCATCAAAGCTGATTTTTACAGGAGAGAATAAACTTGGAGGATATCATGCTGTATGAAGTCAGTCAGAATGAAAGGGACAGAGACAGAGGGATCGCTCTCATGTGGGACTTAAAGATGCTCAGTGAGGTAGCAACAAAGATCCAAAGGCAACATAATGGGGGAACTGATCCGCACAATTGTGTTTGGAGGAGGTTGAGAGGAGGAATTGGTGTCCTTGGTGATAGGTGTGGTGTTGGAATCATGACCACGAGAAACAATTATTATTAGTATCATAAACCAAAAAATAAATTTTAGAAAATGAGAGAAAAGCCAAAAGCAGAATGGAAAGACCAAAGTAACAAAATTTAAAGAAGGAGAAAGTGATAGAATAAGAGTGTAAAGGTAGTTCTAGTTTAACAGTGTTGGAAAGTGAACTTTGTTCTAATAAATACAAGTTAAGAGTACAACCAATTAAACAACTTGATAGCTTTATCAGGGAAACCAAAATTTTGGCTAGCTCCAAGAAAGTATTTCTAAAAGCTACATTCTTTAGCATTACCAGCATTGTCTAGACTCAAATGGCAGACTTAACTTGCCAGCCCATTTAGAAATTAACTTAACTGTAAGAATTATGATTGGAAAAACAGGCACTGCAAATTATATCACAAACTACCATAAAAATAAAGTGAACTCAATGTTAATCTTTTTATTTTAACTTCATTTGTGTGACAGTTATATGACAGTTATATTTCATATTTAAATATTTTCTTCAGGCATCTGATTACATTTTTCTGTTCAGATACTATCAGTAACTCAGATTTTGAGCCATAAAATGAAGGAATTACTCAGTTCTGCTAGCAATTAGAACATCATAAACTTGGTGATTCTCATGTTACAATGAGATGTTTTCAGAGCTTGATGCCACTAGTTACTGCATCAACATTTGGTAGATGTTATTAACATCTCTTGGGACTGTGTGGTACAGGAATGTCCCAGCCAATGCAAAGAACTCAAGGAAAGAACCGTCCTAAGGAGTGCGGTTTTCTGATGAGCGGTTTAAGAGAAATGCAAATTCTCCGTCTTTCCCAATCTGCTGAATAAATCTTTGGGGTCTTGACTCAGCCATCTGCTGTTTATAGGCTGAATCACTGCTGTTTAAGTGATTCACACTGAAATGTGGCAACCAGTGAGGAGAAGCATGGAGGTCAGTAAGAGCTGGACCAAGTCGGAGAGGTGGGGGGATAAGATCACCTTATGGGAGCTTGTAAGTTTTATGATCTATAATGAACTGATAGCAGCTCAAAATTATGTAATTATTTATATCAAGCCTCAATATACAAACTTTGGCATGGAAACAATTTTGGCCTGTTAGAGTAACACTTGATGGTGTTCATTGTGAAATGGGTCCAAGTGACTCATTCTAATTGATCACTGGTTCTTGTGAGGTAGTTATTAAAGTTGAATTTTCTCCCCACTAAACCTCTCAGGCAAGCTAAATGTAAAATTCAAGAATGGGGGTGACTTCATCATTTGATTTAAAGTAGTACAGTGTGAGCTCATCAGATTTACTAGTGAATTACCTCTGCATATAGTTGATAGAATTATGATCTGAGGATGCCAAAGGGATGGGGAAGAACCTTGGCATTGAGGTAGAGAGATCTGGCACTCTGGTGCTGGGCCTGGGTAGCAACACTGCTAGTATAAATATAACTCTACTACAAAACAACAGTAATAGAAACAAAGAGGTACCTTTGGCTTTGAATATCATAATGCTGTTTTTAAAAGACTAGAGGCACCAGGATACAATCTGCTGAAAATTCGGGTATGTGGGTTTGTGACTGAAATCTCCAGACTTTCTCAGGGTCGGGATGGACTACCTCCCCCGACCTCCCTGTACTTCCAGAAGTCTCGGCTGTCTTGTCCACACCCCAAAGCTGCCATCCAGTTCAAAAGCTACTCCAGCCTTACCATCCCGATAAAAATACGGAACGTCCTGAACAAACACGATGGCCTCTTAATACCTGTATTGCAAACCATAATGCACAAAAATAGAGGGAGGCTGGGGGTGGGGAATGGGATATTGGGGGGATGGTGGGAAGGAAATGGGGGGTGGACATTGGTGGTGGGAAATGTATTTTGATGGAGGGATGGATGCTGGATCATTGTATGACTGAAAACCAATCATGAACTGCTTTGTAATGGTCTATCTCAGGGATATTCAATAAAAAGATTTTTTTAAAAGGTAATGTGGAGTTCATGCCTGCTTCAGTCACCTTAATCAGTAGCTGAACTCCTACATTTAAAAGAAAATAAGCTAAAAAGAGTAGAGGGAATATAGATTATTCAGTTACATATGAAAATGTCCACCTTAACAGGTAAATGTTGGGAAGATGGATTCACCTATTGAGAAGTGGAACCTAATCATCGGCAATTTGGCTTTGAAGCAGGTAAGTGACATGCACTGGTGTAAAAATCTTGGGTTTACAGAGACTTGGGTGTTAACCTGTAGGGGTGGGATAAATTTTAGTGCTATGGAGTCTACTCTTTGTTTCAGAGGACCCCAAATGATAATTTAGTAGCATGAAAAAGTGACAGGAGAAATGGATACTTTGAGTCAAAAGTTTTGTTTCTCTAGACATGGATAAATTTCTTCCAGCACTGTAGCACTGTAGCACTGTCCTCGCGTTGTTCATTGATTTGCTTGAATGGCCCCAGTAACGTCTCCATTGTGAGACTTGTTGTTAGTGTGTTTGGCATATCGAATAGTCACAGGTAGCTTGCCAGTCTTTGCTGTGCGGGTGAGATACTCTCAGTAGCTTTTTTGCTGTGCGGGCGAGATACTCTTGGTAGCTTGCCGGGCTCTCTGAGAGGAGCGGAGGAATTGAACCTGGGTCGGCCAGGCTGGCCGCGTGCAAGGCAAATGCCCTACCAATGTGCTATCGCTCTAGCTCAGATTTCTTCCAGATACTGAAAAAAAAAATAACCCTGGCAATATTTAGCAAAAAATACAAAGAATATTTTCTATCATGAATGTGAAATGGAGTCACAATTTGAATATCTACAAATAAATGTTTACCTCTTCCTTTGGATAGGGAGTTTGTCTGTTTTTGTCTGTTTTTGGACCATACCTGGTGATACTCAGGGATTACTTCTGGTTCTGAACTCAGGAATTACTCCTGGAGGTGCTCCAGTTCCATATGGGATGCCAGAGATTGAACCCGGGTCAACCACATGCAAGGCAAATGCCTACCTGCTGTACAATCTCTCCGACCAGGATGGTGTTTTTCTACTTTGAAACTTTTTTAAAATACATTATGGTCAGAGTTTTGTTTTTGCTATTTTCCTTAATTTTTAATGTTGCTGGTGTTGTTACAAATGATGATGTTGCCAATCTCAAACTAAACCGTGGGCTATGTGTAGACTGTCTTAAATTCTATCTCAGAGGAAAATCTCCATCTCTCCCTGTTCTCCATTAAGCTCAAGATACAAGAAATCCCCTAGTAACTATCAATTGAGAGCTTAGGGAACACATAATTTTAGTTCAGCTGAGGCATAGTTTTGAGTATATGGTTGTAGAAAAGTAATTTCATGTAATTCCTTTTGAAAATGAAATAAAGGAATGTAGACTTTTTAAAAATCTGTGCAGCGACTATATTTTAAAATTTGCTTAACTTTCTTTTTGGACCACATCGTGTGGTGCTCAGGGGACCATATGTGGTACCAGGGATCAAATCTGGCTCAGCCACATGAAACTCAGGTGCCTTCTCCATTGTACTATCTCTCTGGCATCAGTTTCTAGGCATCATAGTTCTTTTCTTTTAAGTTATACTATCTGAACAGAAAAATGTTCCTAGTTCCTGGTAGGTAGATTTGAAGAATGCTATTTTTTTCCATATACATTTATGGTGCAGAATTTCCAGATGCCTCCCAAAACAACCCACTAAATTATATCAAAGAGGAATATTCTACTTTTGGATGGCAAGAGAAACTTTTCCTACATTAGAGCTGTCCATTTCCCTTTTCATCTTAGAATCACAGATGCTATGTAAAAGGGTTGTGAGGGAACAGTCAACAATAAGAAGATGACAGGAAACAAATTAAAAATTTAAAAAAAACTTTAAGTGCTCTAAACTCTTGCCGTGTGTAGAGTTTTTGAGTACAAATGATTTATCACATTCCAAGAATTTTCATCTCATCTTTTAAACTTTTTCCTTCCACTTTTAAGTATCCACCTTCCCTTGTCGTCGTTGGTCAGGTTAGAAGCCAGAGGGACTCGGAATAAAGGATACTAGTCACTGAATTTGAAATCTGTTTCGCCCCACCAGGGATTTTTGAGAAGCGTAGGACCATTAGGACCAGCAGCAAGTGGCTGGAACCCGGTCACTGTGGACAGAAGTGGAGGAGACAAGAGTGGCTCTCTCTCTGGTGGTCACACCCTCTCGTCTGCTCCAGTTGGGGAGGGAAAGATGGCGAGCAGGTTTGGGTAGACTCATGAAGGGTCCCCGGCCAGAGATGGTCTCTGGAAAGACAGGGAGGACTGAGGGGGCTCCCACATGGGGGTGAGTAACCTTGGGATGATGGCTGTGTAGTTCTCTGAGTGATAAACGGGACCCCAAGCAGATGGCTTATCAAGGAACCCCCCCTCCCAACACACACAGTTGTAAGGCTATTAGTAGTGCGTCATTGTCTAATTCAGCAAAGTCCCCAGGCCCCCTGCACATACCAGAAGGGATGTATGTATTCCACACAGAATCCTATTTGGGCCTGGGGCCTCTGTTCACTGCCCAGGTGCACTTAAACCAACTTTTGTTCTTCTTGTGTATACAAGTCAGGAGTTTATTCTTTGGTAGGTTTACAGAATAGAATTTTCTTTCCTTTAAAAAAATTTTTTTTTTGTTGAATTACTGCGAGATAGATCCTTACAAAGCTGTTCATGATTAAGTTTTAGTCATACAGCATTCCAACGCCCATCCCTCCACCAGTGTGCATTTCCCAGCACCAATGTCCCTCCCATCACCCCCCTCCCCCACCCTTACCCCCAGCCTGCTTCTATGGCAGGCATCTCTCTCTCTTTCTCTCTCTCTTTTCGCTTTTAACAAAATTTTATTATAATATTGTGATTTACGAAGTTGTTCATAAAATAGCTGTTTCAGGCATTGAAGATTCTCCCACCAATTCCACTACCAGTGTGCCCTTCCCTCCATCAATGTCCACAGTTTCCCAGCCACCACCCCAACCTGCCCCCTCAGCAAGCACAAACAAATTTACTTCATGTTGTTGTTGTTGTTGTTTTTTTACAACACAAAAGAAAATGGAACGATCAAAATACAGATCAATAACAATCCATTTGTGGTCATTGTTATATCTCACAATGGTGTTCTTGGAGTTGCTGTCTGAGGGTTTACTGGGCTGTTGGTGCTAGTTGAAGAATAGACCATTAATCTCTGCTATGCTTCTGTAGATAGGATCATACACACATGAACATATGTGTATCCATGCGCTCTGATGTCTGTAGCAGGCTCAGAACTTGGAATCACAGTGTTGGAGTTTATATTTAAGTATGATTTGTGTGATGTAAAGTATCTTTCCATTAGTAACGAATTTTACTGCTTTTGCATTACTATTATTTATTGACTAGCTGAACTATTTGCACAACTTGTGCAGTCATAAAGTGTTTACAGCTTGATTCTCAGCTTTGAGTCAGTGGGTAACATCAGCAGGAGCCGTGATAAAAGGTCACGAGATTTAGGCACTCTGGCATTGAAAGCCCTGCCTCTTCCGGAACTTCATAGCCTACTGGGCTGTGTTTCACCTAGACCCTCAGATGCCAGTACATGGATTGCTTTCATAGAGTCACAGAAATTCTACTAAAGCTATCAAATGTTTTCGTGTTCTGTAACGAATCTCTGTCACGTACTTGCCAGATGCCAAAGGAGTCTGTGACACAGGTTTAAGAATCATCTGAGGGTCTGAACTGGATTATTCATTGAGGATTTCTTGTAGTTAGAATATTCTATGAACATAAGTCTCCGAGCTTATGGTGTCCCTATTTCTAGCTGCCATTTCTTGGCCTTGAAAGTTGCTTGGTGCCAAGACAGGAGATAGTTCTTCCCTCCCCGTTTGCTCCTGGAGAGCAAAGAATAAATCTGTTTGGACCACAGGTGCCGCCTAACACCAAGCATAGCATCTTGTAAATAGTGGATTGTAAAGACCCACTTGCTGAATGAATGCATTTGAATATCTTGCCACAGGATTATGGGGCGTACCCAGAAGCCAGACTCCTATCTCGTGTTAAAAATTCCCAACCCTTGCCAATGTCTTGTGCAGAGCCAGACTTCCGTTGGGTGGCATGGACACTTTTCAACCTTAAAACTGATGCTTTTCTCAACTCATCTGTGGATTACACCGTCTCTTGGGGTGCTTGTTAGAAACCACTTTCCTGGGCCCCAGTCCAGACCTGTAGTCACCAGGTTAGAGCAATGTGGGGAACCCACTGCCTTTACAGCACATTAAACTGAGAGAACAGAGCTGCCTTAGAGGCAATACCATTCAGTTGCCTGGTGCCATGCTGTCTTCTGAATGTCTCTGTACATTTACATAATCAAATACGTTTTCAAAATGAATAATTCAGCGGGTTTTATCTAAAAAAAAATTATTTTTAGGTTCAAGCCACCGTCGTCGGTTTCCTGGCAGCCGTGGCAGCGATTATCTTGGGCTGGATTCCAGAGGGAAAATACTACCTTGATCATTCAGTGCTTTTGTGCTCGAGCAGCGTGGCCACGGCCTTCATCGCCTCCCTTCTGCAGGGTAAGTGCCGTCACGGGATGCCTGCCGCGGTCTCTCGCCTTCAAGTTCTTTATTTCCCATGTTTCTTCATTTAGATGATACTGGTTCACCATTTAAAAGAGACCTGATAGTTACCTATGAGTTTTGTTAAAAAATATATATATCTTTTTGAGGCTGAGGATCAGCAGCAAAGCACATGCCTACTTGCCTTGATGCATGAGGTCTGGGTTCATTGCCCCAAACCGCTACCACGGAAGGGTCGGCGGGGAAGAGACCAACTGATTTGGGGGGGCAGAGAGCTAGTTCAGTGGGCCAAATGCAGGCAGCCCCCGAGGGAGGCCTGAGTCCAATCCCTGCACTGTCTGGGTCCCTGAGCACCACTGGGCGTGATCCCCGAGAGCACAGAGCTGGGAGTAGCTCTCAAGCATGACTATGAGTGATCCCTCTCCGATCTTAGCTCAGATATATTGACATTTATTCTAGGTAAGCATTGGTGTCGAACAGACCTTCTGAGCCTTAGTTGCCCAGTTCAGTGCCTACACAAGATTAAGACAATAGTTTCAAGCCGCCATTGTTTTTGTAAGTCTGTTGAGAAACTCCTTTCTGGAAACCCGGCAGGAGATTTACTGGCTTGTGATTTTTAGTATTCCCGGAATTCTGAGTTTCACAAGTAGCCCTTCTGTTACAATGTTAAGTTTCAGCTTTCAAAGATTCTTTCTTGTTTCATGGTTTCTGTACAATACAGATACAATTATGTTCTTAACACAGCACATTGTTTATGAATTTAGCAGAGCCTGAATATTTTTTACATGAGCTACACTTAGAATTTTTCAGTTGGGAATTTTTTTTTCTTTTCTTTATATCTTTTAATATGAATTTGAGACTACAAAACTGGCTGGTTACAGGATTATAACCATAAAGGCTTGAGTCTCTTTATTCCATAATTTCCATCTTTTTCCTAATATTAGAACAAAATTTATAATGGGGGAGCCTAATGACAAGTGAACTTGTAACACAACTGACCTTTTTTGGAGGGAGGAAGGCTCACCTAGTGGTGCTCAGGGCTTACTTCTGGCTCTGCACTCAGGGACCACTCCTGGTGGAAGTGGGGGACCACCTGGGTTGCAGGGATCACACCCAGGTTGGCCACCTGCAAGGAAAGTATCCTGCCCACTGTACTATCGCTTCAACTCCAAGGCTGACCCCTTTAACTAGGATCTAGTCACGATCACGATCATCCTGTTGTTCGTCGATTGTCTCGAGCAGGCCCCAGTAACGTCTCCTTCGTCCTAGCCCTGAGATTTTTTAAAAAGTGCCATATTCAAGGCTCTTTCAGGGTTAGGAGAATGAGACCCATCATTGTTACTGGTATTTGGCATACTGGGTATGCCACGGGGACTTTGCCAGACTCTGCCGTGTGGGCAGGTTACATTCGGTAGCCTGCCAGGTTGTCTAAAGTAAGAATGAGATAATAAGGTTCTAGTAATATAGAGAAACTCTTTAAAGTGAAAACTTCTCAGCTATTTTCAAGCCTTTCTCCTTAGAACTTAAAACTCTACCACGTAAAATTTCTTGTCTATGTAGAGAATCACTAGAATTGACTATTAAAGTTAAACTGACGAAGTTAGAGTGAATTTAAGGTATTAGAAAATTAACTGATTAGAAACCACTTATTCAAAGAAACAAACGTGGATGCATTTCTTTAGCTTCACTTGTCTCTGCTTTCTTTCATCTATTTGATGAAATTCAAATTCATGTAGAGATAAATTTATTTCATCTATAAATAACTATTTTAAATTAGTCTAAAAGGATACTTGTTGCCTAGGATTTTCAAGACCGCTAACATTTCGTTGTCTTTTTGGCAGTGCTGAGCACCAGCTCAGGGTCCCAGGCATGGGACGCGAGTGTGCTAATGCTCAACTACATCCCTGGCCCCCAAAACTTAGGGTTTTGCTTTTTTTTTTTGAGGGTAGAGCGATAGCCTAGCGGGTAGGGTGTTTGCCTTGCATGTGGCCAACCCGGCTGACCCGGGTTTGATTCCTCTGCCCCTTTCAAAGAGCCTGGCAAGCTACCGAGAGTATCTCGCCCGCATGGCAAAGCCTGGCAAGTTACCCATGACGTATTCGATATGCCAGACACAGTAACAACAAGTCTCTCAATGGAGACGTTACTGGGCCCACTCAAGCAAATCGATGAACAACGGGAGGACAGTTCTCCAGCCCCCAAAACTTAGTTTTTAAGGCACATTTAGCTAGGCTTTTTTCTTTGCATAATGTATGTTTTTATATTTCAAATTTTATAGTTCCTTGACGCATAGATATGTAGAGCAGATGCTATTAACCATCTCTTGAAGTAAGAAAACCAATAATAAAATGAAACAAGTCCAGGAGCTTGTTCACAGAGAACTCTAAATGAAAACCTGTTTCCTGACTCCCAGATATTTCCATTGATCTAGGATGTCAAAATATTGTTTTCAGCCGCAAAGATGAAGATGGCATACTGTCAGAGGATTGACTTGATCCTTAAGTGTGCTGATTAAAAAGGAAGATCCTCATACAATCATATCTTGGTTGATCAGTGCAGAGTAGTACATCATTAAAATTTTTTTCTGCTCTTCTTCCCTCCCTGCACTTTTATGGTGATATGGGTAACAAAAGTCTATAGAATGAAGAATTCTCCAAACTATGAGAGGCAATGTTTGAATCAACAAAAGTGCTAAAATGCAAATGTTAACCATGCTGGCACTATAGGCGGGAGAAGAAACATAGAACAAATTTTGCAAGTAACTCATGGGCTGGAGCGATAGCATAGTGGTAGGGCGTTCACCTTACAAGCGGCCAACATGGCCGACCCGAGTTCGATTCCTCCGCCCCTCTCGGAGAGCCCGGCAAGCTACCGAGAGTATTCGATATGCCAGACACAGTAACAACAAAGTCTCCAATGGAGACGTTATTGGGCCCGCTCGAGCAAATCGACGATCAACGGGAGGGCCTTCACCTTTACCATGTGGCCTTAAGACTTTCAACCTTATTTCAAGGAATACCTTATATTGTTAGGAGATGAAGGTGTTAAAATTAAAATCACTTAGAAGTATTTGAGTTTAAAAATAATGGCATATGTAGTTAGTTAATTTATAGCAAAGCAACCAAGATCATACAACAGAGGAAGGGAAGTATTTTCAACAAATGGTACTGGGAAAACTGGACAGCAGCTTGTGAAAGCATGAATTGAAACCACTATCTTACCCAAAAATTTATTCAGAGGTTGAAAGATAAGTACAGTGGGTAAAGTACTTGCTTTGTATGTTGCCAACCTGGGTTTGCTACATATATGATCTCCAGGTTTGGCCTAACCCTCTCTCCCCCAAATAATAAAATAAGACAAAAGGCAGCCTACTAAACAGGAGAAAATAATCTGCATACCATGCGTCCAACAAGGGCGTAAGGGATAAAGTACGTTGAGAATTTTTACAACTCAGCTGCCGGAGAGATGGCGTAGCAGGAGTCAAGCTTTTGCTTCCCTTGGGGTGGACTATCCACTTGATCCCCAGCACCATGTTGTCTCTGTAACACCCACTGGATGTTGCCCAACGCCCAACATAAAAGAACACCTACAACTCAGTAACAACAACAACAACAACAACAAAAACCCAAGCAACCCAAGTCAAAAAATTACATAGATGATTGGAATAGACACTTCTTCAAAGAAGACATTCAGATAGGCCAAAAGACATATAAAAAGACCCTCACTAAGAGGAGATTTGTGCTGAAAGCAGACAAAGGACCAAACATGAGGCCTCTCAATATCTGTATTGCAAACCATAATGCCCAAACGTAGAGAGAGAGTAAGAGGTAAATTGTCTGCCATGGAGGTAGGGGGAGGGGTTGGATGGGGGTGGGGTGGACATTGGTGGTGGAAAATGTGCACTGGTGGAGGGATGGGTGTTCAATCATTGTATGATTGAAACTCAAACATGAAAACTTTGTAACTGTATCTCACAGTGATTCCCAGTCACGGTCGACGGTCCTCCCATTGTTCATCAACTTACTCGAGCAGGCCCAGTAACGTCTGCATCGTGAGACTTCTTGTTACTGTGTTTGGCATATCGAATACGTCCTGGGTAGCTTGCCAGGCTTTACTGTGCAGGCGACATACTCTTGGTAGCTTGCCAGGCTCTCCAAGAAGGGCGGAGGAATTGAACCTGGCTCGGCCGGGCCGGGTGATTCAATAAAAAAGAGACCCTCACCATCATACATGTATTATCACAGAAATTCAAATCAAAGCCACCATGAAATATCATCACACAGCTGTGACAGTGATCTACACTACAAAAGGCAAGAGCTCGGGAGCAATAATCCAGCGGGTTAACACAGGTTACAATACATTGCCTTGCACAGGGCTGACTCAGGTTTGATCCCAGACACATACGGTCACCCACACTGCTCTAAGAGTGGTCCCTGAGTACCACCGGAAATGGCACCCTCTCCAACAACAACAACAAAAAGATTACAAGAAAAGTAGGATGGAAGAATTTGCAGGTGTCAGCAAGGAAGTGGGGAGTGGGAAGGAGTCTTTATGTACCATTCGTGGGGATCGAAATTGTTGCAGATTCTATAGAAAAAAGCATGGAAGTTCCTCAGAAAATTAAAAACACATCTATATGTAATAGCAGCCCCACATCTAGTTATCTTTTTAAAGAATATGGAAACACTGGTTCAAAAAAGATGGCTACACTCCTATGGTCCTTGCACTGCTGTTTCTATAGTAGCTAAAATTTGAGCAGAACCTAAGAGCCCAAGGTGAGAAGATTAGATAAAGAAGCTATGGCGTACATATGCAGTAGAATATTACTAGGCAGAAAAGAAGATGAAATCTTGCCATTTAGGAACTGGAGGGGAGTCCATAAAGTTAAGTAAGTCACAAGAAGAGTTACAGGTACCTGATGAGTTCACTCATATGGAAGATAAAGCATGCAGAGCAGAGGAACAGACAAAAATGAATCCACACAAACCCTTAATCCTGACTGTAGAGCTGAAACTCCTAGAAAGGAGAACTGCTTGGGGACAGAGTGTAGAAGAGGTCCAGGGGGTTGTGTGGAGACTTATTGGCCTTTTTGGTGGGTAACCTTTATTTGAAGTGTTGTGAACCTATACTCCTGAGATATGTACAGCATTTAAGGCAGCATTCATGAAAAAATGTTATATGTGTGTATGTAAATATATATATTTATATAAATTACATATTTATATAAATTTATGCAAGTTATATATACTATATATGTAATTGAAATGTAAAAATATTTCTTTTCTATAATTGTATTTAGGTTCCAACCCTGATTTTTTTGTGTGTTAGCACACAATACGGCATCCTCTCTTCACTGCACTCTTTCTTTTTTTGGAGGGTGGGGTTTCAGTCATGCCCAGCAGTGCTCGAGATGTTCCTGACTCAGTGCTCAGATGGAACGCAGGTTTCCTGCCTGCTTACGCATGTGCTCCAGCCTGTTGAGCTGTCTGACCCCTTCATTGCATCCCCTTGATGCATAGATTGGAGTGAGAAAAAATTATTCCTGGGGTATGAGTATAGATTTTATTTTCTCTCCTCACTGTGGTTTAGGAAATAAATGTGCAGGTGTGCAGGCCCTTTTGCTTTTTCTGTTCTTTAGATTCAGAGACACTTTGGATATAGTTATTTTTAAATTATTATTATTATTACTTTTCTTTTTGGGTCACACCAGGCAATGCACAGGGGTTACTCCTGGCTCTGCACTCAGGAATTACTCCTGACCGTACTTGGGGGACCATATGGGATACTGGGGATCGAACCGGGGTCAGCCACGTGCAAGGCAAATGCCCTACCCGCTGTGCTATAGCTCAAGTCCCCACTTTGGATTTAAAAGAATAAACTTTCCAAAGATTGCTGCTTGTGTTTCTGGCCTTCAGTGCTCAAAGCTGAATTCCTTCCCTCCTCTTAATACTTAATAATGTTTAAATAATAATAAAAAAGAAGCATTTCTAACAACCGCCATATAAACAGACCCAGTTCTGTTGATCTTCCTTCCAGTTGCTATTTATATAAATGTGACTCACTTGCTTTGCTCTTTTCATCCTTTATTTGAGGGTTCAAATAAAATCTTCACATTTGATATATACAAATAAATATAATACACTTAAAGGCATGTTGTTAAATTGAAACTTAAGCTCCATTTGATCTTGCAGTAGGTTCTCAGGTCTCTAAATGCAACACTTAATTTCTCAAATCTTCTATGATATCCACTTGGAATTTGTTGAAAGGCATTTTTTTCCCAGAGCGTAAGAATAAATGTTTTGTTTGCTTTAATCAGCTTATCTAAGCAAATACCTAAAACTGATAGGCTGTTGGTCTAGGATTTCCGGCCTTGAAGATCTTAGCATTAAAGTAATGAGCTTGCTTTCTTCCAGGAATCATTATGGTTGGGGTGATCGTCGGCTCAAAGAAGACTGGCATAAATCCTGACAATGTAGCTACACCCATTGCTGCCAGCTTTGGCGACCTGATAACTCTTGCTATATTAGCCTGGATCAGTCAGGGTTTGTACTCCTGTCTTGGTAAGTTACTGAAAGTGAAACACTGTGTTCAGAGACTCTCTGGAAATAAATTTTATTGCAGTACTGCCCTGAGTTAGCAGTGGCCTTCATTTACATCAGAACTGTAATTAGAGGAGCTGGAGTGCTAACACAGCAGGTAGGGCATTTGCCTTGCACGCGGCCGACCCGGGTTCGATTCCCAGTATCCCATATGGTCCCTCAAGCACCACCAGTAGTAATTCCTGAGTGCAGAGCCAGGAGTAACCCCTGTGCATCGCCAGGAATGACCCAAAAAAGCAAATAAAGATATAACTTTAAAAAAAAAAAACCCTGTAATTAGAGCAGTGACCACCATTTGCTGTATCCCTGGTGTATGTTGTTCTTCCTTATTTTTCTCTCACATCCTTTTTCTTAAAATAAATAGCATAAAAGAGGAGAGTTAGCCTGTCTTGTTTCCAATGAGAAACCTGAGGATCGGGGACTATATATGTTATTCATTGTTGTTAGGAGGTTGAATGGAGAGGTCTTGGAAGTCTGTAAATTCTGCTCTTTCCTGTGCATGTGCAGCTAGCAAGGAGTCCGCTCAGAATTCTGACACTCCTGCTATCCTGCTATCCCGAAACATAACACTTGGATGGTGCTTAAAATTTAGTGGTATTTCCCCTGTCAAAAACCAACACGGAGGGGTCTGCAGCGAAAGCACAGCGGGTAGGTTGTCTGCCTTGTATGCGGCCAACTCAGGTCTGATTCCCAGCATCCAATATGGTCCCTTGAGCACCGCCAGGAGTAATTCCTGAGTGCATGAGCCAGGAGTAACCCCTGTGCATCGCCAGGTGTGACCCAAAAAGAAAAAAAAAACTCAACATGGTAATTAACAAAAGGAAAATTAAATTAAATCACCATGAAAAATTAACTTGAATGCTGTATGAAGTTGGTGGCATCTTATAGATGTGGTTCTTGTAATAGTGGTATTTATAGAATCTAATTTTTAATACAAATTTGAGCTCTTGAACTACTGTCAATGTAGGTGATTATGATTTATAGACTTTGTTTTAGTGTTCAGAGGGTTTTTTTTTTTTTTTGATTGATTGGGGGTATTTGTCCACAACAGTGCTCAGGGCCTATTTCTGGCTTTGGGTTCAAGGTCACTCCTAGTCAGTTTTTGGGGAACCATATATGGTACCAGTTATCAAACTTAGGGTCAGCCTTGTGCAAGGCAAGCACCATAACCCCTGTACTACCCCTTTAGACCCTTTATTTATTTTAGATAACAAATGAAAGATATATAAGAAAAATATATGAGAATTAAAATATGTATATATATATAAATTATGTAAGTCAAGCCAGAAGTCAAATTTTAGTCTTTCCATATGTATTTTTTGAATTCCATCCAGATTCACGTATTACTTTAAATTTAAAGTACATTTGGTTCAAATAAGCAAGAGTCTCATAAATTTGTTGTTTTGGGGTTTGGGTGTTCAGGGCTTACTTCTGACTCTGCACTCAGAGATCACTTCTTTAATTTAAGAAAATAAATTACTTAAATTACCTAAATTTATAAATAAATTACCTATGATTTATAAATAAATTACCTTCAATAACCTACAATTACCTTAAATTTATATGATGAGTGGCATAAAACAATATTTAAAAAGACTTGGGGCTGGAGATTTAATTCAAAAGCATGCAGCTGACCGGGGTTCGATCCTGGGCACCATGTATGGTCGTCTGAGCACTATCAGGAGTGATCCTTGAGCACAGAACCAGGAATAAACCCTGAGAACAGTTGGACATAGCCTAAAAATTAAAATAAATAAAAATAAAAGACATAGTGTTTTTTTTTTTAAAGAGCATCTCGCAGGAGTGTATCTCGTTGAAAAGAAAAGCTGCATCCATTTAAAGTAAAGAGAAAAAATGACCAACAACTTAAATATGAATTCTTGTTCGCATAGGTCTTGGGGTTTGTTGTAGAATATACAGGGGATGATGTTATTCTCATATTTTAGGAGAATTCTCAACTCCTCCTTCTCTTAGTTAATATAATAGGAGAGGTATGTTATAATAGGGATTATCTGGGAGGTAAAGGAATAGTACAGCAGGTAGGACGTTTGCCTTGCATACAGCCAACCCAAGTTTAATCCTCGGCATCTCATATGATCCCCCAAGCACCATCAGAAGTAATTCCTGAGTGCAAAGCCAGGAATAACCCCTGAGCATCACCGGGTGTTACCCAAGAAGTCAAAAAAAGGGGGGGGAGGAATAATCTGCTCTAATTTATATGGTTATAATTGGTACTACGTTTCTCCTCTAAATTCTTATACAATTTAGACGGTCACTTAGGGATGCCTCGGAGCCCCTTTTCAGCCTTATCAGTTAGAGAAGTCTCTTCCTCTTGGGGGTAATGGGGAGGAAGAGTTAGCAGTGTTTTTTGGGATATGTTCCTCTACACACACACACACACACACACACACACACACACACACACACACACACACAAAATGGTATTTTATTTGCAGGCTTGGGCACTTAGGTTGCCATTTACTATTCTGTAAGACATTTCTCAGATGCTTGCTATAAGCCAGGGAAATATGCATCCATGGAAGCCCTGGTGGAAAAAAGGTAAATGGCCACATGCAGGGCAAGCTCTTGACTCATTACACTAGCTGTCCGGTCCTGAGGTTTATATTAAAAAATGACACAAGTGGTCAATTCATAATACAAAAATGTAACCATAATGTGTTCTCAAAATCTTACGGTATTTTTTTTATTAGTGAACTAAAAGAATTTTATTTAGAAAAATGTCAGGAGAGAGGATGATAGGAAGGAAGGAAGGAAGGAAGGAAGGAAGGAAGGAAGGAAGGAAGGAAGGGGAAGGAGGGAAGAGGAAGGAGAAAGAAGGGAAGGAGGAAGGAAGGAAGGAAGGAAGGAAGGAAGGAAGGAAGAAAGGAAGGAAGGAAGGAAGGAAGGGGAAGGAGGGAAGAGGAAGGAGAAAGAAGGGAAGGAGGAAGGAAGGAAGGAAGGAAGGAAGGAAGGAAGGAAGGAAGGAAGAATGGAAGGAAGGAAAAAAGGAAGAAAGGGAAGGAAGGAAGGAAGGAAGGAAGGAAGGAAGGAAGGAAGGAAGGAAGGGAGGAAGGGAGGAAGGAAGGAAGGCACTAAGGAAGGGAGGAAGAGAAAGAAAGCGAGAGAGAGGAAGAGAGGAAGGAAGGATGAAAGAAAGGGAGGGAGGGAGAAAGTGGCCATCACTGTGATGAAGGCAGCAGAGAATATTCCAGTGCCAGTATTGTGAATATTATAGATGTTACACAAGCACTTTAAGTGGATCAGGAAATTAAGTGATATGGAATGATACCAACACAGTTTTGAAAAAAAAAAAAAGCATGAAATATTACTTAGACTTTTCTTGACCTTGTCTTCTGAAAGTCAGTTCAAAGTAATTCAAGATAAATTCATTAAAATAATGTCTTTACATTTTGTCTATATACCTTATTTTTCCAAAATGATACACATGTCTAACAGACTGTCAAGTCGATACTGCATTTAAAAATTCACCGTGTGTCTGAAGTCGGTCTTCAGATTTCTAAAGTATCTTAATTGTGGGCACTAGAGGGCCTCAGACGATTAGCAATTGTAAACCTCATGGCGCAAACCTCAGGGCCGCAAACTTGTAAGAAAGAACACACGGGCACATTTAAATCCCAAGATTCTCTGTACCCTGCTGAGATGCCCAATTCTCATAAAATGAAAACTTCTAATTTCTGAACTGTATTGGAAACATTTCTGGAGACACATGAGGATTTCATGGCAGTGGTAGGCTCTGGTGATAAATTCACAGAGGCCTTGTATGCGCTGGCTCTCCCCGAATAGCCTCCCTCTGCCCTCACGCAGTTTTGGGTTTGTGGAAATGACTTTGAGCAGCTTCTTTCATATCTTGCAGGCACCGACACATGGTCTGCAGTGGTTCTACCTTTATTCAGCCTGACTCTTTCCTTCTCTCTCGCTTTTCCTTTGATAGCGCCCTCCCCTGCCTCTCCCTTTCTACCCATCCAGAATAACACCCCGTTTAGAAATCATTGACTTCAACAGGCCTGCAAAGTCCCTTTGAGCATGAAAGGTGATACTCACAGATTTTAGGGACTAGGATATAGGTGTCTTGGAGACACCTAGATTTAGACCTATCATCGTATGATCATTATGATATATCCAGAAATTAATATAAAATATTATTTTGGCTTCGATCATTTAAATCTGTTTTATGTAGAAGAAAGGTATTATTTTTGCTGTTGATATCAAGGCAGAAGTTAATGATCACCCCCATTTGCTTCATCATTTTCTTCGTATAGATGTATGTTCCTTATCTTTATGTGCTTAAAATATGCTATATATGTGTGTACACACACACACACACACACACACACACACACACACACATTTCCACCCCTCGCCCCAGAGATCAAAACTAGTCCTCAACACTCATGGCCTGAACTCTGCTACTAAACCATATTCTTACCCCTATTCACTTATACACTTTTTTTATGCTTTGTTTTCAGGCCACACCTGGTGGTCTTTGGGACTTATTTTTAGCTCTGTGTTCAGGAAATACTCTCAGTGATGCTTGGGGGACCAAATGCAGTGCCGGAGATCAAACCAGGGTTTGCTGGGTACAAGGAAACAATCTCTGTACTATCTCTCTGCATTCTCATTGACATTTTTGAAGAATATAGTTCCCCATTCCTTTTATCCATAATTGGAATTTTTGGAAAAAAAATTTGGGGGCCACACTGGCTGTGCCTGAGGGCTCCGTCTGGTTTGCTGACCACTAGCTGTGGAACCCTGAGTTAGGGGGGTCCGGCCTGGGGCTCCCGCCTGTGGGGTGCATGCTGCAGCCTTTTGAGCGGTCTCCCCGGACCTCTGATGAGCAGAATTCTTAAATAGACATGTAATCACCATCCCGTACAACTCACCTTTTAAAGTGTTTGATTCAGTGATTGGAGAGATCGTATAGTGTGTAGGGTGCTTGCCTTGCACATGGCCACCCCGGGTTTGATCCCCGCACCCCATTTGGTTCCCTGAGTCCAACAGGAGTGATCCCTGGATGCAAATTGTTTTTAAAAACGATAAAGTGTTTAATTAAATGAGTTGTAGTATAGTCATAAGATTGTGCAGCCTAATATTTAATTCCGAAACATTTGTAACTCCCCCAAACCAAACCCTAGCCATTATGTTCTACTCATTCCCTCAGCTCCTGACAAGTACTGATTTTCTGTTTCTTTGAATTTTCCTCGTCTACTAATTTTTTTTTTGAAAATCAATCATACAATATGTGATCTCTTATCTGGCATCTTTCAAATAGTATCCTGTCAAGGTTCATCTGGATGAATAATAGCCCACTATATGGATTAATAATGCTTGTGGAAAATATTCCATTGCATCAATATACTCCATTTTGCTTATCCACTCACCATTTAATGGGCACTTGGGTTGCTTCCACCTTTTTGCTATTATGAATAATGTTTCTATATTAGTGGTTTTTTTCAAAAGTTTTTTATTGAGTCACTGTGAGATAGACCCTTACAAAGTTATTTGTGATTGGGTTTCAGTCATACAGTGTTCCAAGACCCATCCCTCCACCAGTGTCCATTTTTCAGCACCAGTGTCCCTAGGTTCCCTTCCATCACCCTCCACCACCCACCCCTACCTGCTTCTATGGCAGGTGATTTCCTTTTTTCTCTCTCTCTCTCTCCCCCCCCCCTTTTGGGCATTGTGATTTGCATATATTAGCATTTTGTGTAAAGTTTTCTGTGAATAGAATAGAACTTTCAGTTCTCTCTATGTGTTCTTGGGAATTGGAATTGTTGGTTGATATGGTTAACTATGCTTAACATTTTGAGGAACTTCCTACTCATTATTTTTAGTTTCGTTTCTGAGAAAGTTTTCGTTCTCTGAAAATTCAGGAACGTATTTCTGAGGTTGGGGTGGTGGGTATTTTTTCAACTTCCAGATGTCCTTCCAGAGAACTAAAATTGAAAGTGAAATTCTAAGATGATTTCACTTAACAGAAGAGCCCTTGTCGTTTGTGTGTAGTGGATTTGAATTCTTTTGATTTTCTTTTGGGCTGGAGCAATAGCACGGCGGTAGGGCATTTGCCTTACAAGCGGCCAACATGGCCGACCCGAGTTCGATTCCTCCGCCCCTCTCGGAGAGCCCGGCAAGCTACCGAGAGTATCTCGCCCGCACGGCAGAGCCTGGCAAGCCACCAGTGATGTATTCGATATGCAAACACAGTAACAACAAAATCTCCAATGGAGATGTTACTGGGCCCACTCGAGCAAATCGATGAACAATGGGAGGGCCTTCTTCTTCTTCTTCATTTGATCATCAAACCTTATTTGTGGCTTTAGTATTTTTAGGAGATGAGAGTGTTTCTCAGTTGGGATATTTATCCTTAGCAGTTTAAAAGGGAAAATTGGGAATTCATTCAATAAAGGCTTTTCAATGTAAAAATATAGTCACAGAGATCTTCAAGGATGCTTTGAAGCAGCCCTGGGGTTCAGTTTCGTATACTGCAAGGTGGTCCCCTGAGTACCAAGGAGAAATTGACATTGTGTGTATATCACAGAGAAATTGACATTGTGTGTATCAGTAATCATATTCCTTTATGTGGAAAGAAATATTTAAATGACTTTTTTTTTTTTGCTTTTTGGGTAACACCCAGCTATGCTCAGGGGTTACTTCCGGTTCTGCACTCATGAATTACTCCTGGTGGTGCTTGGGGGACCATGTGGGATGCTGGGGATTGAACTCAAGTTGGCTGCATGCAAGGCAAATGCCCTACCCACTGTACTGTCGCTCCGGACCTTAAATCACTTTTGTTAGTATAACTATTCTGAAGATGCAGTGGAAAAAGCCATAAGAATAAAGGGTATTTTTGGATATTAATATCCAAATATCTCTGTTGTTGGAGGGGAAATCAAGTGTTTATTCGATCTCTTTATTCATAGGTGAAAGATCTTTCAGAAGAAGAAGAAATACAAAATTTAATTTACAAAAATGAGTCTAGACCAGGGTTGAAGAATATTTTTGATGTCACTCAATGTAGTAACATTTAACTTAAATCTCAGGCTGTAGGCTACAAGGTCTTTGAGATTAATTATGTTATAAAGCCCTGGTGAAACCTAGTAAATTTTAATCATTTAGAAGAATCCAGAAATATTCTGGCTAAAATCTCTGATAATAATAAAAGATTGATCATTTAAAATTATATTACAAGAAATGTCTTGGGGGGCCAGAGAGATAGTGCAGAGGGTAGGGTACTTGCTTGGCACGTGGCTGGCCTAGATTTGATCCTTGGCACCACAGATGGTCCCCCAAGCACTGACAGGAGTGATTCCTAAGTGCAGGGCCAGGTGAGGCCCTAAAAAACAAAACAATACAAAAACAGGCCATCTTAAAAGGATTTCTTGAGATGTTGTGGCCTTTCTAGAAAGAATACACACTTTTTTTCATTGTTTGACTGGTTTTAAGAGGCAAAACCTGCAGTGCTCAGGGATTGGACTGGCTCTGTGCTCAGGGATCACTCCTGATGATGTTTGGGGTCATATGAAGTTCTGTCAACCTGGATCCACCCGGTGCAAACGAAGTTCCTTAACCCCACGCTGTCTTTCCAGTCCTAAGAAAGAAGACGTGTGGGGGAATGGGGATGGTGGAAGGAAAACTGGAGACTTGGTGGTAGAAAATGTACGCTGGGGTTGAGCATTGCATGACTGAATTTGAATCATGAACAACTTTGTAACTGTGTATTTCACAGTGATTCGGTTTTCAAAAAAAAGAAAGCAGAAGAAAGACTACACAACTTTTATCAATAGGAAGATTTAGAATTAAGAGAAGAATTAAGAATATTTAGAATTTATTTAAAAGACTTCCCCCCCGCCCCCTATTTTCTTTGCTCCTTTACCATAAACTATCCATCTGTGTGAAGATTTCATTTTGGGCTCTCAATTGTATTCAATTGAAAATGGATTTGTTTGTGTTTCAAAATCTTACTATGATTATTACTCTAGTTTTACAGTGTAGTTTCCAATCTGAGACTGTGAAGACTTTTTTCTTCACAGAAAAAGAAGTCTTTATACTTCTTTTGTGTCTAGATTGCTTTGGCTATTATGGAAGGATACTTTTTTAAAAAATTATTTATTGAATAACAGTGAGAACAGTTACAAAGCTTTTAGGTTTAAGTCTCGGTCATACAATGATCAAACACACATCCCTTTACCAGTTCATATTTTCCACCACTCAGTATACTTTTTTTTGATGGTGGTTATGATGTGGTAACATATTTGTAACTCTAAAATCCATAGAGTCATGTAAACTAATGTTACCTCAATAAAAATAAATGAAAAATTAAAAAATAGAATTAAGAGTAAAAAGTAATTGAGAATCAAACTCATGATGGGATTAGTTTTTGCTAAAGAAGTAATATTTAGTTTTCATATAAGTTAGTCCATTAGAGAGACATGTCAATCTTTTATAAGTTATTGCGTTATACTTGTGATTATTAAGTAGAACTTTTGCCAGTGTGTATATATTATATAAACAGTTATGAAAACTTAAATTTCACGTATTTGTACGTTTAATTTGTTAGATTTGAAAGGATTATTTTAACTACTTGGAAATATTCGTGAGCATGATGAACTATCTAAAAATAGAATGTGTCAGACTGTTTAACTGAGTTTGTTAATGCTACCAAATAGTATCCAAGCTCTTAAAAAAATAATTTCCAGTTGGATGCTTGACATTTTAAATGTAATGCTAAGCGTTTGGCTGTTTCGTTTTTCTTTCCAACATGTTGGACTCTGTTCTCGTAGACAAATTGTTTGTGGATTAGCTTGAGCTTTACAAGATTTGATTTAGCTTTAGTATTAGAACAGAGTTGGAATAGAATTCATATTAATCTGTTAATCTTCTAGTAAGCTTGTAAATCATCCATTATGTTGGGAGGGAGATTGAAACATTGTCTCTTTTCTCATTTTAGAGACCTATTACTACATTTCTCCATTAGTTGGTGTCTTCTTCTTGGCTCTTACTCCCATCTGGATTATAGTGGCTGCCAAACACCCAGCCACAAGGACAGTGCTTCATTCAGGCTGGGAGCCTGTCATCACAGCGATGGTCATAAGTAGGTTAGTACCAGGACATGCGTAGTGTGTGTTTATCTGTATTCGATAGGCCTGACTTCTTAAACTGTGGGTTGGAACTCCAAAAGGGATCATTTTGAAAGTTATTTTCAAAAATGTTTCAAAATAGGGGCTGAAGAGATAGCACAGCCAGGTAGGGCATTTGCCCTGCACACGGCCAACCCAGGTTCGATTCCCAGCATCCCATATGGTCCCCCGAGCACCGCCAGGAGTAATTCCTGAGTGCATGAGCCAGGAGTAACCCCTGTGCATCGTCGGGTATGACCCAAAAAGCAAAACAAAAAGTTTCAAAATAAATTTCTTTATGACTGACTTGTGGGCCCGCCCGAGCAAATCGATGAACAACGGGAGGACCGTGACTGTGACCGATGACTGACTTATTGTCTGTAAAGGTTTGATTTATATACCCAAAGCTACATAAAAAATATCTTGGGTAGAAAAGGGTCACAGGTGGAAAAAATTTAAGAACACACATATATCCGTAGACATTAAAGCAAATCACTTGTCTCCTTATTTCTTGGTTCAATCATTTTTTATAGCTAATTCTGTATGATTCCTAGTAGAAAGAGATAAATGGCAATGCAGTGAGCCACATTTGACTCCCAGGCTCAGACTTCTCTTCAACTAATGCCTTCCCTCACCACTGACTAAGATTCTATGGTGTTTGTGTGTGTGTGTGTGTGTGTGTGTGTGTGTGTGTATACTTTATTCTAACAAAGAGTAGTTACTTGTTTTGAATAGCAAATCACTCAGATAAGAATCAGAAAGCCTGAAATATGTTTATACTGTTAGGCTACTTCCATTTCCAGAACCCTGATAAAACTTAAGCATCTATTAAGCACTGTCACTGCAGTGATTTTCATCAGAGTGAAAAAAAAAATTAGTAGCAAGAACAGAGCCCTTAGAGGCTGAGACTTACTCATGGTACATAGACTGATAACAGCTGTGAGCAGGCCTGGTGGACAGCCACCCAGAGTGTAGATCTGGGACTTCTGGATGATGTGTCAAAAAAAGGAAGAAAAATGGAGCTGATCAAAGCAGCCCAGTTTGACCATATTGAGCAGTGTTTCATAAACTTTGTAAAAATGTTGAGGCTGAATTGCTTTTAAGTACCTAAAACTTAATTTAAAAAAATGAGGCAAAATACACGACTTTGAAAATCTAAAGCCATGTTTTTGTGGCTCAGCTGTAAACAGTGATGGTTGCGTTGTGATATTCAGCTCCGAAGCATTCCATCAAAACTTATAAATGATACACATGATCCCACAACTGCCTCCACGTGAGCTCAGCCATCAGCCCAGCTTTGCATACTCACAATTAAATCTCAGAAGAGATCAAGAAAGTCGCAAAAATTCACGGGTTCACCCATCTCCCGGCTGAGAACTCCGGGGCGCCCTTGGGAGGGTGGTGGCCGAGTCCCTATCAAAGCCTCAGCACTCACAATTGTACTATCACAATAGTACACTCACAATTGTGCTATCACAGTTACTGCCAGGCCCAACTCAACTACCTCACGACCAAACTGTGCAGAGGCGCCAAACTGCAGAAAATTGCAGGTATCTTGGTCTCCAGGCTGAGAACTCTGGAGTCATCTCAGAGTGGGGTCGAGCAGCCTCCCCCCCACTATAACTTCCCCACCCCACCGCCGGTGTTTCTAGAAGCTCTGGCGGCCACAGCCACATCCCACAGCTGACACCAGGTAAACTCACGGCCCAGGTAAATATCCTGGAGTTGCTCAAGCGCACAGCTTCAAACACCTCCAAACTCTACAATACTGATTGCCCAATAGTTGTACCCAAATCTGATGGGAAAGTAATACAGAGGCCAGCTAAAGCTAAGCTCAGTAATCAAAAATAATAACACGGAAGTCTCAATTAGCAACAAAGAGCTTAGTAAACCCTCCCTCAAAGACTCATTGAACCCATGGTAAGATATAACAATCTTCACAAATTTTCTATAGCACAGGGGGTAGGGTGTTTGCCTTGTATGCGGCTGACCTGGGATTGATTCCCCCATACCTCTCAGAGAGCCCGGCAAACTACGGAGAGTATCTTGCCCACACGGCAGAGCCTGGCAAGCTCCCCGGGGCGTATCCAAAATGCCCAAAACAGTAACAACAAGTCTCACAATGGAGATGTTGCTGGTGCCCATTCAAGCAAATAGATGAACAGTGGGACGACAGTGCTACGTTGCTTTTTTTACCGAAGTATTTTTAGATAATTCCATTAGCCATTGAGTTTTAACAAGCCATATGAAAGAAATAATTTTGTGCCTGCTAAGCGGGAGGCTTGGGTGGGTTGGGAAAATGGTCACACTGGTGGTAGGATTGGTGTTAAAATATTAAATGCCTGTAAGAAATGCATCATGGACAACTTAGTAAATCCTGGTATTTAACCAAAGGTAAAAAGAGCACAGTGAAGAAAACAAAAACAACCTTCTAAAAGAACCAGACTGGCAAGATAAGGAAGGGGGAGGGAATTCTGGAGGCCCCAGAGCAGGCAGAATAGAGCAAGTCTAAATCCTCATCTGCCAGAATAGGAAGTCACGAGGTTAAAATTTTTTAATTTTTAAAAACATCGAGATAGAGCACTATAAACATGTTATTAAGGAACATAGAATGAAATGCCAGAGTAAATAGCTAAAGAAGTTGGAAAAGATTTCTAAGGGGGAGCGGCATCTCAGCAAGAGGTTAGGAGCTATTTTATAAGCTTTGCGAAATTACCACTTCTTGAATAATGCATGTATGTTTGGTAAAAATAAAATTTAATTAGAGCTCAGAAAATTATAATTTTAGTTGATTTTTATTGTAAAAAATGTATGTTTAAATATATCTGGGAGATTTTATAAAATATATATATATACATATATATATCAGCATGCTAACACTGTTACCCTGAATTATGCAATTATAGTTGATTTTATTGTAAAAAATGTATGTTTAAATATATCTGAGACATTATATATATATATATACACCAGCATGCTAACACTGTTACCCTGAATTATGCAATTATAGTTGATTTTTGATTTTTTAAATTTTCTTCCATTTGTATGTTTTATTACTTGAGTAATGTGTTTTAAGACGTGTATCAGCAAGTGTTCATGTTATATCCATAGAATGTTCTGTGGGGCATAGCCATTTATTTTATTTTATAATTGTATATTTTTTGCTATCAAGGTTCCCAGATTAAAAAACAAAAACAAAAACAAAACTAGGGGCTGGAGCAATAGCACAGCAGGTAGGGAGTTTGCCTTGCACGCGGCCAACCCGGGTTCGATTCCCAGCATCCCATATGGTCCCCTGAGCACCACCAGGGGTAATTCCTTAGTGCAGAGCCAGGAGTAATCCCTGTGCATCGCTGAATGTGACCCAAAAAGCAAAAAAAAAAAAAAAAACCAAAAACCAAAAAACAAAAAAACCCTAAATTTATTTCAAATTATTTATTTTATATGTGTATTTTAATTGCATCACCATGACATACACAGTCATACACAGTTACAAAGTTGCTCATGATTGAATTTCAGTCATACAATGTTCTGAAACCCATCCCTTCACCAGAGCACATTTCCCACCAGCAATGTCCCCAGTTTCCCTCCTGCCTGACACTTTCTTCTCTCTCTCTCTCCTCTCTCTTCTCCCTCTCTCTCTCTCTCTCTCTCTCTCTCTCTCTCTCTCTCTCTCTCTCTCATTTTCCTTTGAAGAGATGTGGTTTGCAATACTGTTAACTGAAAGGGTATCATGCATCTATCATGCATCTCACTTTCCCTCCTTTCAGCACTCAGTTCTTGCTTAGTGATTATTCCCATCATTGTCAGAGGGACCCTTCTCTGCATCTCTGCACTCCCCTCCCCCTTGGTGGCATGTGTCCTGCCATGGACCAGTCCTTCTGGTCCTTGTTAGAGATTTATTTTTTTGACACATGAGTAGCACTGTAGCACTGTCCTCCCATTGTTCATCGATTTGCTCGAGTGAGCACCAGTAACGTCTCACAACAAATTGTGAGACTTGTGGTTACTGTTTTTGGCATATCGAATATGTTACAGGGAGTTTGCCAGGCCATCATGGGGAGCTTGCCAGGCTTTGCCATGAGGGCGAGATACTCTCGATAGCTTGCTGGGCCCTCTGAGAGGGGGAGTGGAGTTGAACCCAGGTTGGCCGTGTACAAGGCTCTAGCCCTTGACACATGAATAGTTTGAAATATTACATATTATGAAATATATATTAACGTTATGACTAAAAATAGTAAAATAATTTGTAAGAATACTATATTTGGACATTTTAAAAATTTGAACTTATTTTTTAACTTGTAAGAAAAATGTACTTCTTAGGGGTCAGAGAGATAGTGCAGCAGGTAGGGTGCTTGTCTTGCACTTGGCCAACCCAGATTTAATCCCCGGCACCCCATACTGAACCCCTGAGCCCTGCAAGGAGTGATCCCTGAGTGCAGAGCCAGGAGTCAGCCCTGAGTACCAATGGGTGGGGCCTACACACACCCACACACACACACACACACACGAAAAAAAAGTTAGCAGAAGGATATAAAATGACCCTTTGTCTGTTTTTTTCTCACCCTCTATCAGTTGATCTATTAATATTCTTATGTGTGTACACACATACATACACACGAATATTTGTTTATATATATATTTAAGGCATTTTTAGTGCACTTGAAGCATATGCCTTCCCTTTTTTAGAAGTAATAAAGCTTGGAGGTCAGAAACGTGGAGGTACAGCTTATGCGAGCCTTGCTTTTCAGCATTTTTGCTGTTTTCCGGAATTTTCACTTAGAATATTTTTCCCTTTTATTCTATTTTTGTAATGTCTAAAATTTTTTACTTTTATTTTTACTTTCCTCTCCCGTAAATGAATATATTTTCTTTTTCATCTTTCAGCATTGGGGGCCTTATTCTGGACACAACTGTATCCGATCCAAACTTGGTTGGGATTGTTGTTTACACGCCAGTGATTAATGGTAAGGATCATTTCTTCCTTCCATGATGGGACAGAGTGTTTACATACATGTCTGTGCTACTAGGACTCCTGGGATTCAGACCGTGAGAGGCCCATCTTTTGCTCCCAGACATTTCCCTTCCAACTCTGTGTTGTTTCTTAAGGTAGGTATTATAAGCCCTGTGGAGAAGAACACGTTGAGAACTGTGTTTTCTCTTTCTACTTGTTTGGGGTGGGTGTGGGGGCAGGGGCTCTCAAACAGTACCCAGGAGACCGGGGGGGCCAGTCGGGATCCGTGGCCTTCGGACAGTGGGTGGATGTAGGAACCCAAGGCTGCAGTGCTTCCCAGACCTTGTGGTACCCTGGGTACCCGGGACCCCTAGTAGAACCGGGAACCTCCAGAACTGGACCTGGTGATGCTCATGGTTTGTACTATTTCCAACCCAGCCCGAAGAACCGCTTATTAATCTTAGTACCAGATAGTAGTTTGAAAATCATGCATCCCTGAATTTTGCGGTTAGAGTTTTACGATTTTAAGATTACAGTTCCCGTATGCCATATACCGTGGGTTTTCTGTGAGCTGTGTTTTGTTGCGATTCCTGTCAGTGTTTGCTGATAAACTGGAGCTAACTAGGCTTATAGATTGCATGAACTGATTCAGCCCATTAAATCTACTCCTCCTCCATTAATTTCTTTAAAATAAGCCTTATATATTTTTTTTCTTACAAAATTGGATTTTATGGTACTCGAATTCCCAGGGAATTTTGTGGGAAGGGAGGGGAGGTTTGTGCCACACCCCATTGTGCTCAGGGATCACTCCTAGCAGGGCTTGGTGGCCTGTGTACAGTGCTGGGTCACAAATTTTGGTCAGCCAAGTGCAAGGCATGCCCCTTACCTACTGTGCTATCTCTCTGGCTCTAGGGATTTCTTTTCTTTCTATTTTTTTTTTTAAGCAGAAAGCTTTCTTTATGACAGTAGTCCTTATAATAAAATCAGAGAGTATAAAGCCAGCCAATAACAGAGGTGGTTTTGTTTGTTTCGCTTTGGGGGGGGGGGGGGGTCACATCCAACCATGCTCAGGGCTTATTTCTGGCTACAGGTTTGAGGATGGGGAGATGAAGGAAAGTTCTCAAAAAAAAAAAAAAAGAAAAAAAAGTCTCATCTAAAATTTCTATCAAACATCCTAATGTTCATGTGTGTGAATGCGTGTGAGTGCATTTCTCCTATTTTCTTGGTGTCCCCATTCTCCATGTCGCCTGTCCTTAAAATCATGGAACCATCTGATTCAAGCTGGCTCTTCTTCTTCTTTTGTGCGCGTAGGTGTGGTTCCAGGGATAAAACCAGGGCCCCACATATGCTCAGCGTCTAGGCTCTGCTTCTCCATGGTTCTCATCCTTCTAAAGCAGAGGAGGACCAAACCTTGTCTCTTTGCCTCCAGCATATTTTGCTTCTTCACATATTTACGAAAGATGCCTGTCTCACCGTTGTTGTTGTCTGTCAGTGTCTCTCTCCAGTTATCACTAAGTGATAAAGTCGCCTTGCTTGACCCACTCCCTGTGTGGACAAATCAAATGTCACTAACACACAAGTCTTAACATTGTTTTTATTGCATCCGTTTTAAGACACTGAACTTAACGGTGATTTTTCTCCTAGGTTTCAGATCAGGTTTGAATTCTTCTGCCTGGATTTCAGGCTTACTGTGCTACTGGACACAGGCAAACTCCACTTTCGCATTCCAACTGCTCTTTTGTCGAGTGACCCTATAAAGTATTTCTAATACCTACTGCCTTGAATGACCATCAGTTCCTTCCCAAATCTGTTTCATAGTATTTTAAGTGAACAGCTCTTTTTTTATATGCTTTTTTTTTTTTTTGTCACACCTGGTGATGCACAGAGGTTACTCCTGGCTCTGCATTCAGGAGTTACTCCTGGCAGTGCTCAGGGGACCGACCATATGGGATGCTGGGAATCGAACCCAGGTCACCCGCATGCAAGGCAAACACCCTACCCGCTGTGCTATCTCTCCAACCCCTTTATATGCTTTTTTTTGGGTCATGCATTGTATATTTCATTATAAGCTCTGTAGCACATGCGTACTACTTTTTGCTGTAATCAGTTAATTTTTAAAGACGTTAATGATGGGGAAATGATAAAGTTTAGGTTTTCCCATTTATTTTGCATTTCCAGCACTCTTCTTTCCTTTATAATAGATCTGGATTTCCGTCTGATAGTCTTTTCCCTCTTCCCCAACATAGTTCTAATTTGGATGACATGAATTTGGATTTTTTTTAAGCAACCTCTGATAACCCGCTTATAATGTCTCCTTATTATAAACATTTATATTGATACTGAATGTATTCTTGCACAGACACTTAAAATTAGGATTTGTGAATTCGGAGGAACTCTTGCTAATTATTTGGTCTATAATTTTACTATTATTATTAACTTACTGTGAGACAGTCTTTAGATGTTCTGCATGAACTTTAACAAGGCAGTACATTTGTGAAGAAAGTAAATAATTTAAAATAAATGCTGATCTATTAGTCCTTAGAGAAACCAAGCGTGTGTCAAGATAGCAACAATGCTTTTTTGATAATAAAACTTATTCTAAGGAAATAAAATATGCTTTAGTTAAAATATAAGTGATGATAATGAGGCCATTGTTGGTTAAAACTTTAATTAGGTCTTTCATATCCTGCTTACTTAAAAAAAATTACTTATCTTATCAGAAAATTATATTTGTCTTTCTAAAGTCTCAGTTCATTTATTTTTAGTTTGATGCCATTACTTTCAACAGAAATACTGACAGTGTTTCTGTGTTTCCTGGGCAACAGAGAAGACAGGTCAGGAAATGCGAGGACTTGTGAATTCTTGGGGGATAAGTTGATTATTTATAAAGGCTTATTTGTACTGATTATTATTATATGTGTTGGCCTAGACATAGTAACAAAGAAATTATTAAGCGTGGTTCTAGAAAGCTCTGCCAGTGTGGCTTTTAAAGAGAGCTGCAGTTAATCACCAAATGCCTTTTGTTTCAAATTCAATTCCAAGGGAAATTGCAGTTAGAGTATGTATTCTCAGGCTTAATAGATTATGCCTGCTGAATTTTCATTGAAGCACTTCGTATTTAATAAAATATCAAGTCTTCTCCTTTTGAGAGGCTCTAAAGAGAAATCCATGACTGATTACAGACTGTTCTTGTTGGTTTATCCAGTGAGTCTTTGTAGAAGTGCATGCATTTTCAAGGATGAATATTCAGAGCCTCTTTCATTCCCTAGGATATGTTAACTTCCTGCCAGTTGGAGATAAGCAACTGGCCTTGTTTATATGCTATTAACTGAGCACCATCAATATAGAGCTAGCGTTTGGTCCCTGTTGTTTACTGTAGAAAGTAGCTCAGGTTTAGACGGTTTAGACTTTTATTTATTTATTTCTGTTTTGGGGAGGTTCACTCCTGGTGATGCTCAGGGGGTTATTCCTGGCTCTGCACTCAGGAATCACTCCTGGCAGTGCTCAGGGAACCATATGGGATGCTGGGAATCAAACCCAAGTCGGCCACATGTAAGGCAAACACCTTATCCGCTGACCTGTCACTGCAGCTCCCAGTCTAGATTTAGAAAAAAAAAAAAGAGTCATCACTAACTTCTAGTGGGAAATCAATTGTGGAAACAAGTGGCAATTTTAAAATGATTTCTTCAAACATGGGCACCACGTGGTTTATTGTCTTTTTTATTTTAAGCAGCATAATATGTGAATTGAAAAGCAACACAGTTCCTGTACATTCTTCCAGCCCAGTGAACTCTCTAGTTAACAGCACTGGAAGTAAGGAGCTCATTATTGCGCACATTATTATTACTATTACTAACTAAAAAGTCGGCATTTGTTGAGCCTATAGCGTGCTTAGAAACTGCGTCATATCTTTGGTGCATATGGTGTCTTGTTTAATGCCATCTCTTATGAGGTGGCTCTGAAATCAGCCTCACTTTTCAGACTAGAAAACTATCACCAAGTATAGAGCCCAAAGGATCCAACATGCAGAAGAGGAAACTCAGTGTCACTGACGTCCCAGGAAGGGACTGAGGCACTTTCCAGACCTGCGTGGTCTGACCTAGCATCAGCTCAGCCATTCCACCAGACAGTGTGACTTTGTTCTCCACTTAAACTCATTTTTTTTAAATGAAGGACTACTGCTATTTATTAAGCCATTGATTAAGCTGATTGAATTGGGCATGACTTCCACATTACTTTTTTTTTCAATTTTTTAAATTAAATATCCATGAGATAAACCATTACAAAACTGTTCATAATTGGCCTTCAGTCATACAATGATCCAGCACCCATCCTTCCACCAGTGCACATTTCCCACCACCAATGCCCCCTGTTTCCCTATCACCATCCCCCAACACCCCACCCCCCACCCCTCACCCCCAGCCTCCCTCTATGGAAGACACTTTCCTTCTTTCTCTTTCTCTCCTTTTCCTTTTGTGCATTATGGTTTGCAATACAGGTGCTATGAGGTCATGGTATTTGTTCAGGGCTTCTCACTTGTCTCCTGTCATCCCATGGATTATCAATTTGGCTCGAGCGGGCACCAGTAATGACTGCATTCATCCCTGTCGTGTACTAGTGTAGCCCAGTGGCGTATTGGGGGCTCTTTCAGGGTCAGGGGAATGAGGCCCATTATTGTTACTGTTTTTGGCCTATCGAATACACCACGGGCAGCTTGCCAGTCTCTGCCATCTGGGCAGGATACACTCGGTAGCTTGCCGGGCTCTCTGAGGATGGAGGCTTTTGGGGTGGACTCTAATCGCATTTCGTATTTTTATTGGACGGTAAGGCTGGAGTAGCTTTTTAACTGGGTGGCATCTTTGGGATGTGGATGTGACTGCCGAGGCTTCTGGAAATACAGGGAGATTTGGGGAGGTAGTCCATTCTGATCCCTAGAAAGCCTGGAGATTTCAGTCACAAAACCCGCATACCTATATTTTCAGCAGATTATATCTTGGTGTGGGCTGGAGTGAT